GCAAGTCAAAAGCCTTGACTTTGAACTACTGTTACTGAACCGAACTCGGGTCTGCTTGCCCCCCACTCAGCCAAGCCTATCTACTGACACTGGGTTATGGTGAAGGAAGGTACAGTGTTTATTGTAGGGCGTCAAGCAAGGAGAATGGGCAGCTCATGCTCAAAAGACCTGAAATCCCTGATGACTTTCAGAAAAGGGTCTTTAAAGGCAACACTTGGGGTGAGGGTTGCAGCTGGTGGACTTTCTTCTGATTGGTTGGTGGTGAGGTAAGAGGTAATAGGGTGATGTTCCAGGAATCTTAATCATCAAACCTCTGGTTCCAGTCTGGGGTCTATGTGCTAGTGGTCAGCGTGTAATCACCATCCTCCACATGGGTGAGGGGTCTTAGTTTCTGCAGAACAACTCAAAGATATATGGCAGATTGTAGTGCATATCCCTTGAGGAACTAGGACTCTGTTTTATTGCTGAACTATTGTTTAAGCTATCATTCCTTTTCTTGCTTGATTGCTTTTCCTTTGTTTCTGCATTCCCTCACTTCCCTAATTAATAACTGCTTAGTCTGCTCTTTGGAAGTCAGGGAAGACCTAGGAGACTAATGCCTTTTTCTACAAACATGAAATGTGGGGCACAAAGGTGCTTTGTACCAGGAGGGTCCCACAGGGCCCTTTCAGTTTTAATCCCCACTTTTCTTTAACACTCTTCAATCCTGAGGGGAATGGGGGTAAGACAAGAAAGGGAATAAAGTTTTGGATAGAGAGGTTAATCATAAACTCATCAGAGGAACTTAGTTTTAGGAGGACTTATTTCACTACTACTGGACCTGAAGACAAGAGTTTGATTCCTTAGGTCTCCCTGCATGTGTGGGGATCTTCTCTTCAATGATTCTCACTGTTGTCCGGGAGAATCCTGTTTTACACGCCCAGGTAAAATTCAACACTGTCAGCCAGTCCCAAAACAGTGGCTGCCATAGAATAGGCACCCAACAATTATTTGTTGAATAAATGAATGAATACCCCTTAGGCAAGGAGGTAAGTGAAAAGACAACCAAGGAATAGAAAGGAATGGGAAAGAAGACTTATAATGTTCTCCTTGAAAATCTTTTTCAAAGCTTCCTTCAGAAACGAAACTGACTTTGTCCTCAGGTGTTACGAATTCATTATTAAACTCTCTAGAAAAGTTTGCTCCTGAAATAATCAGGGGCGTGCCCATAACCTGCATAATCCTTGTATTTCTTTTTTTTTTTTCCGGTACGTGGGCCTCTCACTGTTGCGGCCTCTCCCGTTGTGGAGCACAGGCTCCGGACGCGCAGGCTCAGCGGCCATGGCTCACGGACCCAGCCGCTCCGCGGCATGTGAGATCTTCCCAGACCGGGGCACGAACCCGTGTCCCCTGCATCAGCAGGTGGACTCTCAACCACTGCGCCACCAGGGAAGCCCAATCCTTGTATTTCTTATGCTTTGTTCCAGAGGCTGCTTAAAAATTTATACATACAAAACACTTCACGAGCACTCAGCAGAGATGTCACTTTCAAAGTACAAGTATTCAATTCAAGTTCCTCTCCCAACGAAAGCAAATATACCTATTTAACTTTTCCCTACTGTTCTTTTTTTTTAAAAAAGATTGTTTTTTTTTTTGATGTGGACCATTTTTAAAGTCTTTATTGAATTTGTTACAATATTGCTCCTGTTTTATGTTTAGGTTTTTTGGCCACAAGGCATGTGGGAATCCTAGCTCCCCGACCAGGGATTGAACCTGCACCTCCTGCATTAGAAGGCAAAGTCTTAACCACTGGACTGTCAGGGAAGTCCCTCCCTATTGTTCTTAAAGAGGAACAGAAGGAAGACAAGCCACTCCCTAGTACATAGCATCAGCATTCTTTTATATAATACCACCGAGAAGAAATCAGCTTGGAACTTTTGGAAGGCTGTGTTCCTCTACTTTGCTTCTAGAAGAAGCCTTCCGATTATAATCATTATCTGTACATTTACTGAATTCCTACTACGGGAAGTGTGCATACTAGAAAGTTCATCTTTCTCCAAACGTTTAATCCTGCCATTCTGGAGTTATATCATAAGCTTAAAGATGGTGACTTGATCCTGTATTGGGGTGGAAAAGACAATAGGCACTTTGTGTTCAGAGAATAATTCCTCCTACCTCAACTATCTAAAGCTTCATAGAAACAAAGGGATTTCCGTTGCAACTCTGAAGTTTAGCTATTGTGATGCATTTAATTATAGGAAATTAAATTGTGTCTGACCTTAAAATATTAAGCCCAGTATTCACTTCTGAATATACAATGGTTAAAAGTCTTTGTTGTTTAAAAAATATATATATATAAAACCGTACATGCCAAACTGTGAGTTATACATTTAATATATATTAGCAAGGCCCAATTTTTGAACAAGATTAGTTAAATAAATAGTACATTTAATTAAAATTTAATTATTATAAAATACTTAACAAGGGTGTTTTCAAAAGCATTTGGACTTCTTAATGAGATTAGAACAGATTAATATAAATGCCAGGGTAAATCAAAGTTCACTTTTTTCAAATTTAATTAAATTTCCCCTGGAAAGAAAAATGTGGCATGACTTAAAAAAAAAAAAAGTCTCTGCCTTCTTTGGATCTCAGAATATTTCAAATACATTTTTTCAGTGCATTGGGACAGCATTTGGAAATGATCTAGTAACGGAAAATTGTGTGATGTGCGTGATTTGAACACACTGCCATCAAGCGGTGGTGGTAATTTTTTATAACTAGAGGAGTAGATGCTTGGGTTCAGAGGGTGGTGCCTCTGGCCCTGAGGAAGTCAGCTAGCAGGGGCAAAGCCTCCTTCGGCCCTTCACACGACGCTCAGTCTCCGTGAAACTGTTCTCATGAGAGGGTGTTTGGCCCAAACCCAAGCCCTGCCCCCTCATTTAAAGCCTCTCTGGCTCCTTGAGCTTTGACGACTTGCTGTGGGGTCTGTCTATGCCCACTCATTCTAACCCCAAAGGCTGCTGTCTGTTTTTCCTACTTAGCAACTCACTCCGATCTGCTCCTCCATGTTGTGTTTGCTTCACAGCCCCGGCCCTTGTTTTTTCCCGGCGTCTAACCTGGGCAGCTCTGGTTATACTCATTTGCTAATTCAACATGTATATGGCACACACTGTGGGCCAGGCACTGTGCTAAGCACTTATCAAGTCGTCACAAATATTAATCACTTTTTCATCATGGCAACCGCATAGCAGAGTCGCTATTGTTATCAACCCCATTTTATAGAGGAAGAAACTAAGTAACTTGAAAGACTAGGATTCAACCCAGCCAGGCTGATTCCAGAATCTCTGCTCTGAACCTTTACAGCCTCCACTACCATTCCCATCCAGAATTGGAGGACAGGGCAACATGTTCTGAACTGTAAACTGTAAACAATGTACACAGATGCCACACATACAACAACCCAGACATTTAAAACACTCAGATTCATGGAGCATTAAGCAAATAGTATATTTTAAGATAAACAGTAACAGTCCCTTATAAAGCATTAAAAATCTAGAGTCCAGTTTGATCCCTTTCGCACTTATCCTTAACTCTTCTTTCATTTTATTCATCCCAGACTAATCTCATACATGATTTTGAATTAAAGAGCTTATTTGTTAGTCACATTGAGTCTAAACAATTATGGAGGTTGGGAGAAATTTTCCAAGGGCTTTATCCTCCTTTTGGGGGTTAGCTCAGCATCTAAGTGCCTCTTATCCTTTTCTCTGGATTTTAGGTTCATTTATTTTCTATTTTTCTTCTTTGCTATAGAAGGAACTACTTGAAGCTGTGGTTCTCAAATTTTTGATCTCAGGAGCTCTTTACATTCTTTAACATTATAAAGAAATTTTGTTCATGTGGATTAGTATCTATCAATATTTATCACCTTTGAAATTAAAATGGAGAATTATTCACTTACTATATATGTTAGTTATTAACATATACATCAAAATAAATTAAATATATAATAAATGTATATAATTCTTAGTTTAATTTCAATATAATTATTATTTATATAATAAATATATAAATACTACATTAAAATTATGTATAGTACATTAATATATATTATAATAATAAACCCTTGACATATTAACATAAATAACGTATCTTTATGAAAAACATACGTTCAAAGCCAGAAATACTTTGTGGGAAGAATGGCATTGTTTTGCATTCTTGTAAATATCTTTAACTTTTGGTTTAACAGAAGACAGCTAGATTCTCACATCTGCTTCCATATTTAAGTTGCTGTGACATTACATGCCATATAGTTCTGGAAAACTCCATTGTACACTCATGGGAGAATGAGAATGAAAGAGGTAAATAATGTTTTAGTATTATTAGGAAAATAATTTTGACTTTACAGACCCCTTGGAAGGGTCTCTGACAATACACTGAGAACCACTGGTTTAGAGAGAACAGATAGGAGAGAGGGGAGAAAAAGTAGGTCCACTGGTATCCTGTTCCCAGCTGTCATTCATCTTTTTACAATGTGGCAAAAGGGAAGGAGCAAGACAGAGTGAAGGAAGACTTTTCTACATTATGGGCAAAAACGCACTGTGAATTTTTTCTCTAACTTTGAAAAAGAAAGATTCTTATTTTATTCTCATTGTAAGAAAAATGAAAGAGCCTGCCTGCCTATTTTTTCAGACCAGAATCTCGAGTAATTGAACACAATACTGATTTAACAAGACAATTGTCAGCCACTTTGCCCTAGGAACACTTAGCAGCAACTTGGAACTTCTATAAAGCCCCTTGGAAGAGAGTTATACATTTTACTGAAAATATTGTAAAGAGAGGAAAGGTTTTGGGTCTTAGTGCTGAGAATTTAGTTATGAACTCATTGTGACCACACTCGAAGGAAATAATAGTAGCTAGAGAGTCATCTTTACTGTAAATGTTACACTACTACCATTACCACCACCATCACTGCTACTACTAACCATAATAATAGTGTTGTGCACTGTGTAGATATAACTCACTGTTTCACTTTCCAGGCTCCCAAGCAGGCACTAGCGGTCCGTTTGACAATGGTCTCTATATGCTGAATTTTCTATCAGGCCAAGTGTTGCCTCCCCAAGAGCCCTGGAAAAGTAGAATCCCAGAAGAGCTGGGTGTGACTCTTCCTCCAGCTTCTTCATTTTACATTAATTAAGTATTAATCAAGGTCCAGAAGAGCAAAGTGAATCACCCAAGTGACACAATATCTAGTCATTTAAATAAAAAGAACTAGAAAACAGATCTCCAGACCCTAAGTAGATAAAATATGTTTCCGTTACCTCTTTACAATTAAATAACGATAATAATAACTCACAGTCACCGAGACCTTACTATAGGCATGCACATCTCTAATTTGATCAGCTCCATTTTTAAAAATAATTTCCATTCTAACACATTATTTCTTTTCTTTTTAAAAAAACATTTCTAATTTCCAGTTTCTTGAGAAAGGCCTAGACACATTGATTTCCAAATTTTTTATTTTCTAATATCTATATTTAAGGAAGTAAATTTTCTAGTAAATATTGTTTTAGTTACATTACACAATTTTTTATATGTAGTCCTTCAAGTGCTTCTCAGTTCCAAATATTTTGTAATTTGTGTTGTGATTTTGTCCCTGATGCACTGATTATATAGAAGTGTGTGCATGTGTGTGTGGGTGTGTGTACGTGTACACCTCTGGTTAATTTTCAAGTACATATTGTGTGGGGAAAGGGTTTATCTTGTTTGGATTTTTGTTTATTTTTTATCACCCAAAGTCCACAGTTTACATTAGGGTTCATTTTTTTGTGTTGTACATTGTATGAGTTTTGATAAATACATAATGTCATGTATCCACCATTACAGTATCAGAGTATTTTCACTGCCTCCAAAGTCCTCTGTGCTCCACTTATTCATCCTTCCTTCCCCCTAAACCCCTGACAACTACTGATCTTTATACTGTCTCCATAGTTTTGCCTTTTCCAGAATGTATTATTGTTGGATCATATCATGTTTTACTGCCTTTCATTTGTTTTTATGTTAGTTTTGTTTGTTTCTTTCAGTTCTAGCACCACACAGGTTGTATAAATGAAAATCTGACACATAGTATTGTCTTAAAGCTTTGGGAGTTTTTTGGTTGTTGTTGTTGTTGTTTTTTTGTTTGACTTTGCCCGCATCTCCAGCTGTCTGAAAGATTAAAAAACACACAAAAACATGTAAGCTTTCTCAGCATTTCTCTGAGGTGGTGGTTGGAATCTTCTAGCCCATGAGGGAGCACTTGAGGCTACTGGCTTTATGTCAGTGGCTCAGATTCAGTTCTTCCACTTTGCAGAAGCTTTAGAACCCTAAATTTGGTTAAACCAACTTACCTCTGGGTGCTAAACTGTCAATAGATTTACAGATTTGGAGAGGAATGCATGGTCAGATGGTACATTCACTGAGAAACAGTGAGAAGTTACAAGGATTCATGTTATATAAAGGAATTCGGTCACTTGGCATACCTTTCCTGTTGTTGATAATAATTACATGATTGATGTTTTTGGCAAAAGGAAATCACCATATCAAATTTTCCATCTTTGGTCTTCTCCCTCATTAGCTATTTCCGTAATATGAGTAAGGCGTCAAGAAAAATGCCAAGTCAACATCAAATTGTAACTGGGTGAATTTTTAAACAACTAACAGCTTTTTCTCCATTGGGGTTCTTGACTTTTACCTCTCTTGCCACATCTTTCACTCTTGTATTTGTGGCTATAATGGAGAAGGAGATATATTACATCATTCATCTTTGAGTTTCTCTGCCCATTCCTTGTCAGAAGGTTCTTTTGGTTCACTTTCTGCCTCACACCCCATGCAGTCATTCATGGTAGTTCAAAGTGGATATCAATTCTGGGAGTCCTAATATTGGGTTGATCAAAAAATTCGTTTGGGTTTTTCCATAACATCATAAAGAAAAACCTGAAAGAATTTTTGGCCAACCCAGTATTATATTTTAATCAGAATTTGTTTGATTTTTCCCTTACGTAGCATCTTTTGACCCCAGATTTCACCCTAAAGATCAGACTTAATCTTATGTACATTTCACAAGGAATAAAAGTTTGTCTGTCCTTCCCTTTATCAGTCCCCACTTCCATTTCCAGGATTACTATCTCTTTCATGACACTCAGCTCATCTACAACTTCCTGCATCCCATTTTCTGCTAATCTTTTTTAAGAAATTAACATAAAACTATGGTGTAAGTGGAATAAGGTATAAGATGTGATCCCTTAAGTTGCCAATGGTCTTCGGGTTAACAGAGGGCTCCTGATTTCTAAAAACTTTAAATACTCAAAGAAAAGCAGCTTTTAGAATTATATGATAGACATTGGGCTTATATTTTAACAGGCTTCTTATGTAATGTTAGTCTATTCTGTGCTTCCAAATACTCATGAATTTTCAACCTGTACTAGAAATAAGCACAGTAATTTCTTCTCTTTCCATTTTTTATGCAAGGTTTTATACACACACACATATAAATATATATGTATATGTATACACATATCAAAGAATATGGTATGGAAATTGCTAGTAGCTAGCATGAAGAGACAAAGATAGAATCCATTCTTTGGATATGACTTCCTGATACAGCATATTTTCATGTTCTACTGACAATTTATTTAAATTCATATGCAGTAGACTTATCCTCATGAACATTTTGTCAGAATAAAAATTCCACCTTGACTAACGAAATAATGTTACTTTCAAAGCAATGGAACTTAATATAATTATTGGTCTTCACATCATCACAATTTTAGCATACATTACAATCATTAATTTCCTGATGCTGTTAAAATCCTGCCTTGTCTTTGGAGACACCCTAAGTATCTTTAATAGGAATTATTTGGCAAGCCAGCAGGAATTTAATATAAGCAGAGATCCATCTGGTAGATATATCAAATTATTAATAGTACTTGGACACTGAGTTCCACTTTTCAAAAACTAATTAAGCATAAAAAATCAATTCCTTAACAAATATTGATGTGTTTTCATTATAACTTCATCACAGTTGCCTTCCTCACATCTGAGTGGTTTGGAATAAATAAAATTTTTGAAGACCTGTTATTAACTTGGTGAAATACCGTAGATGATAACTAAGTAAGAACACTGAAGTTAACCTCATGCTTCATTTAAATGTCTGGATCTATTTTGCATGCCTCTAGCCAGTCTCCTCAAACTTTTAGAGGATTTGACAGTTTAATCACATGCTTAGATCAGATATGTAAGAATATGTATGGAAATTGCTAGTAGCCAGAGCAACTACAGGCCTTACTTTGGATTGGACTTCCTGATGCAATTCAAAATAGCATGATTTAAAGCATCCAGTTTAGTAGTACAAGAATTCAGCTGTCTCCAAGGTGGCACATAATCTGAAGGCAAACTGTTTTCTCCTTGGGGATTTGACTTATTAAAGGCAATTGTCTCCTACGATGTGGAATTTTGTGGAATGCTCAGGTAAAGTTTGTGGCTCTGGTGTCTATTGATCCTATAGAAGACCTTCAAATTCTATGAAAGTTTGTAATCTTCATGTAGGCCTTAAGAATATTCCCCCCAACATTTAACCCTCTATTTATTCTTTTGAAGGACATAGAAAGATAGATAATACTCAAAAAAAAAGAAACTGGCTAAGGCTGAAAAAAGTACCCACAGATACTTTGCCTTTAACATGTACACACACACACACACATACACATACACACACACACACATAAACCTCCCAGCTCTCCAGCATTCCAATGTGGCAAGGTTGCAAATACCATGGAGACTGAGGATCCAGATTCAAGTGGTACCTAGGTATCAGGTTCTGGGACAGAGTTTGGCAACAATAGGTCCAATCTAAAAAGACATTCACAAGTCTATTATAACATACTGTGGGTTTTTCATAAAGTCTATTCAGTTTAAAGTACTGTTCTTCATTCTCAAATTTTCTGATCCTTCTTTTGGTGTAAAATATTCTTTCCTATGTGAAATGATGGCCAGAGAAGATATGGTGCTTGTTTTTATGTTTTTACTTGGAAAAAAAAAAAAAAAAAGAAAATTGTCAACCTGACATTGGCTTTCAACTTTGCTTTTGAAATATTACCAGCTGGTAAAATCCAAGAGTCTGGAAATCATTATCACACTTGGAGCATGGAGCACACATCCTTCCTTCATTCTTGCTAAAGGAAAGGGAATTATTATTTTGGTTTTATAAACCATTCCAAAGAACTTTTTTTGTTATTGCTCTGTCCATTCAGAGAAGTTCCCTTCACAAAAAAACAAAAACAAACAAACAAAAAAAACAAGCTAAAAAGTAAATAAATAATCAAGAGGGAATGTAACTATAGTATGGTTATATCTTATTTCATGAAGTACATATATGTTTGAATTGCTGCCAAGATATCATATTTCTTTCCCTCTAATTCCATATTTCCTATAAAATTAGTATTGTGATTTCCTTTGACCTAAAAATATCACATAATTCAATAAACTTTCTTCTAGTAATCTAGGGAAATGATTATGAAATGGTAATTTTTGATAACATATTTGAAAGGTACTAATAAAAAATGTGAACAGATGAAGTTTGAAAAATCAATGAGAGCTTAACTGTGTAGAACCTAATGCATCGTGATGAAAATACAGATTCATAGTGAGAAGAAAAATTAAAAGTAACTTCCTCCATGTGATTTTTGAAGTCATCAGAGAGTCAACCTAATCTATACTACCTCTATTTCTAGTTGTACTACCATGTAGTTAATCAGCCTTCAATGGCTCTTTCCTTTCAAAATAGGTGGTGAATGTATACTGTGAGGTATATTATTTTATAAACATCGATTATGTTAATTTGATTGATATTATGTTTTTTCAGGTTTTCTATATCTTTAAAGAATATTTTATTTACTTTATTGATTAAGAGTAAATTTTCAAAGTCTCAAATATAATTTCATATACTTTTCATTTTAATTTTATATAATTTTAATTTTCCTTTAGTTCTGCCAGTTTTTGCTTCTATTATTAGTTGTGTGACAAATAGGATTATTATATATATATATTTAATTTTTATTGGACTATAGTTGATATATAATGTTTTGTTA